CTTTTGCTTCTGAGTTTGGAATACCTTCGAGTGAAGCAGTATGGCGTACCTGGGTGTGGATCTTGCTTGGATCAGTTATAATTTTGATAGTACTGTTAGCAGTGGTATTAGCAGCACTGTATAACAACCTCAGGAAACATTTTCCTAACAGTTTCACCCTGGCAAAATTCCAGGTAAGATATATACAGTATTTAATTTTCTATAATATTTGATATACAGTAGACATTTTTATTGTAACATTAGAGCATATACAATAATTAATTAAAAAAAATTAAAGTTCTTTGAATATGAAACAATATATACAATAGATTATTTAATAGCAATAAGTAAGGAATAGTATATTACAGCGTGTTGAAGTATTAAGAGTTGCTATCTGTAGAGGGCTCCATGAAACATCATCAGTTTGACCTTGATAACACTAGCAATTGAATCTTCAACCACTTTTACACACTGGTACAGCTGGTAAGGGAATGTGGAAGACAAATATGGTTCATGAAACTTTATAGAGGGTTCTTTGTACCATACTTCAAAACTATATTTCATGGTCACATTTCATAAGCACCTAGGTAGTAGGTTAGTAGACAGCAACTGCTCAGGGAGGTAATACTGTCCTGCCAAGACTTAAGAAATCGTAATGACACGATTGCAAATAAACCATACCCCCGGCCGGGATTGAACCCGCGGTCATAGAGTCTCAAAACTCCAGCCCGTCGCGTTAGCCACTAGACCAGCTAGCCACAATAAGATTCATCCAACTAGGTATATTTCTACACCATAGGAAGGTTAGCACGGCCACGCTAGCTGGAGATTCGTCTGTAAAAACTTGCATTTGTGGTCACAGAGGTGCCTGTGCTAACCTTCCTATGGTGTAGAAATATACCTAGTTGGATGAATCTTATTGTGGCTAGCTGGTCTAGTGGCTAACGCGACGGGCTGGAGTTTTGAGACTCTATGACCGCGGGTTCAATCCCGGCCGGGGGTATGGTTTACTGTCCTGCCAAGTGAGTATGTTTTAGATGATGGTAGGATTGCTGGTGTCTTTTCTCTGCCTCATAAACATGCAAGATTTCAGGTATGTCTTGCTACTTCTACTTGCACTAAACCATACCATGGGGGGGGGGGTTAGAACCCACAATCAGAGAGTCACAAAACTCCAAAGTTAGCCACTGGGCTAACTAGCTACAATAAGATTCATCCAACTAGGTATATTTCTACACCATAGGAAGGTTAGCATAGGCACCACCGTGACCACAATTGCAAGTTTTTACGGACAAATCTCCCACTAGTGTGGATGTGACAAACTCTAGCTCAAGTCCCCTCAAAGCCATCAACATGACTCACGAAATCGTAATGACACGATTGCAAACAAACCATATGGTTATGGTTTGTTTGCAACTGTGTCATTACATGACAACCCTATACTATATGAATATGACAGTATAGCAAGGCAAATATTTACGAAAGTACTGAACTTTACTCCAGAAGACGGACAATGGGACCAAGCTACACTTCCAGTCAGACTAGGAGGCAATGGTGTCTGCAAGGCATCATGTATTCCACTCCCTGTTGCCTTGTCTTCATATGTAGCTTTCAATGACCTTGCAGCAGCGCTTCTTCCTGAATACATTAAGGATGATGATGATGTTCGTGATCAAAAGTTCAGGGATTAAGCTTGGCTCTGGGGTAATTAACAGGCTTTGCAACCAGACCTGCTCTTTCCAACTACAATCACACTGGGATGGCCTTAAAGTGGAGAATATAACCTCAACAATTCTTTACACCAGTGAGAGTTCCTCATGCAGGGGATTTCCTACTGGCTGTCCCCAACTCCTTCCCTGGCATACCACTTGACCTGAAGACCATCCACATTGGTGTTGCCACCCTTGTTTTTGCCAAATACCTGGAGGGTGTTTTGAGGGTCAATGTCCCCATGGTCCAGTCCATTACCAGGCTTTGTGGTGGGTCAGGGCCTGATCACCAGGCTGTTACTGGGGGTTGTATGCAAATTGATGTACAAACCACAGCCCAGCTGGTTAGGTACTGACTTTAGGTCTCTGTCTGGATCCCTTTTGAAGAAGTTAGGGATCCACTGGTAATCACCCTTTTGTATGCTTTGGATAATACTTTTAGAAACCCCACACCTACTAATCTCTAAGCTATGGATTCTCTGCATTATATTCACACCACACATTGCCCTCAGACATGACATCTCCACTGCCTCCAGCCTTCTCCTTGTTGCAACATTCACCACCCATGCTTCACACCCATATAAGAGCATTGGTACCATCATATTCTCATACTCTTATACATTCACACTTAACTCGTTTGACACCCTCATCACCTAACTCTTATCTATGTTCACATCAACTTCCTTCACACATCTTCCGAAACTCATCCACCAACCTTTGCAACTTCTCTTCAGAATCTCCCAAAAGCACACGTAAAAAGACAATCTTTCATTTTTCTTTTTAGGTCACCCTGCAGGTATTAAAAAGAAAATCAACAAATGGGTCGTATCCCACTGAGGCAGGGTGACCCAATGAGAAAAATGAGTTTTTCTTTTTAAAGTAATTTATACAGGAGAAGGGGCTACTAGCTCCTTGCTCCCAGCATTTCAGTTGCCTCTTATGACACTCATGGTTTACGGAGGAAGAATTCTGTTCCACTTCCCCATGGAGATAAGAGGAAATAACGAACAAGAAGTATTAAGAAAATAGAAGAAAACCCAGACGAGTATGTTTATATATACGTGTACATGAATGTGTAGTGTGACCTAAGGGAAAGTAGAAGCAGAAAGATATACCTGTTATCCCACATGTTTATGAGACAAAAAAAACGCACAAGCAATCCTACAATCATGTAAAACAATTACAGGTTTCCGTTTCACACTCACATGGCAGGACAGTAGTACCTCCCTGGGTGAGTGCTGTCTACCAGCCTAATACCTCTTAAAAGTACTTGTTTTTTTTTTAACATCAGCTGTCTCCCACTGAGGCAGGGTGACCCAAAAAGAACACTTTCACCATCATTCACTGTCTTTCCAGAGGTTTTTTTTTTTTTTTTTTTTCAACAAGTCGGCCGTCTCCCACCGAGGCAGGGTGACCCAAAAAAGAAAGAAAATCCCCAAAAAGAAAAATACTTTCATCATCATTCAACACTTTCACCACACTCGCACATTATCACTGTTTTTGCAGAGGTGCTCGGAATACAACAGTCTAGAAGCATACACATATAAAGATACACAACATATCCCTCCAAACTGCAATATCCCAAACCCCTCCTTTAAAGTGCAGGCATTGTACTTCCCATTTCCAGGACTCAAGTCCGACTATATGAAAATAACCGGTTTCCCTGAATCCCTTCACTACATATTACCCTGCTCACACTCCAACAGATCGTCAGGTCCCAAGTACCATTCGTCTCCATTCACTCCTATCTAACACGCTCACGCAGCTTGCTGGAAGTCCAAGCCCCTTACCCACAAAACCTCCTTTACCCCCTCTCTCCAACCCTTTCGAGGACGACCCCTACCCCGCCTTCCTTCCCCTATAGATTTATATGCTTTCCATGTCATTCTACTTTGATCCATTCTCTCTAAATGACCAAACCACCTCAACAACCCCTCTTCTGCCCTCTGACTAATACTTTTATTAACTCCACACCTTCCTCCTAATTTCCACACTCCGAATTTTCTGCATAATATTTACACCACACATTGCCCTTAAACAGGACATCTCCACTGCCTCCAACCGTCTCCCTCGCTGCTGCATTTACCACCCAAGCTTCACACCCATATAAGAGTGTTGGTACTACTATACTTTCATACATTCCCTTCTTTGCCTCCATAGATAACGTTTTTTGACTCCACATATACCTCAACGCACCACTCACCTTTTTTCCCTCATCAATTCTATGATTAACCTCATCCTTCATAAATCCATCCGCCGACACGTCAACTCCCAAGTATCTGAAAACATTCACTTCTTCCATACTCCTCCTCCCCAATTTGATATCCAATTTTTCTTTATCTAAATCATTTGACACCCTCATCACCTTACTCTTTTCTATGTTCACTTTCAACTTTCTACCTTTACACACATTCCCAAATCATCCACTAACCTTTGCAATTTTTCTTTAGAATCTCCCATAAGCACAGTATCATCAGCAAAAGTAAACTGTGTCAATTCCCATTTTGAATTTGATTCCCCATAATTTAATCCCACTCCTCTCCCAAACACCCTAGCATTTACTTCCTTTACAACCCCATCTATAAATATATTAAACAAACCATGGTGACATTACACATCCCTGTCTAAGACCTACTTTTACTGGGAAGTAGTCTCCCTCTCTTCTACACACCCTAACCTGAGCCTCACTATCCTCATAAAAACTCTTTACAGCATTTAATAACTTACCACCTATTCCATATACTTGCAACATCTGCCACATTGCTCCTCTATCCACTCTATCATATGCCTTTCTAAATCCATAAATGCAATAAAAACTTCCCTATCTTTATCTAAATACTGTTCACATATATGCTTCAATGTAAACACCTGATCTACACAATCCCTACCCACTCTAAAACCTCCTTGCTCATCCGCAATCCTACATTCTGTCTTACCTCTAATTCTTTCAATTATAACCCTACCGTACACTTTTCCTGGTATACTCAGTAAGCTTATTCCTCTATAATTTTTACAGTCTCTTTTGTCCCCTTTCCCTTTATATAAAGGGACTATACATGCTCTCTGCCAATCCCTAGGTACCTTCCCCTCTTTCATACATTTATTAAACAAAAGTACCAACCACTCCAACACTATATCCCCCCCTGCTTTTAACATTTCTGTCATGATCCCATCAGTTCCAGCTGCTTTACCCCCTTTCATTTTACGTAATGCCTCACGTACCTCCCCCACACTTACATTCTGCTCTTCTTCATCCTAAAAGATGGTATACCTCCCTGACCAATGCATGAAATTACTGCCTCTGTTTCTTCCTTAACATTTAAAAGTTCCTCAAAAATATTCTCGCCATCTACCCAATACCTCCATCTCCCCATCTACTAACTCCCCTACTCTGTTTTTAACTGACAAATCCATATTTTCCCTAGGCTTTCTTAACTTGTTTAACTCACTCCAAAATTTTTTCTTATTTTCATTAAAATTTCTTGACAGTGCCTCTCCCACTCTATCATCTGCTCTCCTTTTGCACTCTCTCACCACTCTCTTTACCTTTCTTTTACTCTCCATATAGTGAAATATATTGTGTTTTTATTAACAACTTGTGGCTGTGTACCAACAGTGTGACGGTACCAGGGATGGTGTTGCTCCGGTGTTAGTATCATCATCTCATGGTGGAAAGCGATCAGTTGCAGATGGTTCTGCTGTTGCGGCTGGCTCTGTCAACATCCCTCGTGTCACTGTTGGCATAGTCTCCTCCAGAGCTCCTTCCCCCGGACATGAAGTGGATGAAAATACCCTGGATTATATAAACCGTGCATTTTCACACGATGAATAAGGAACCTACAACGGGCATCATAAATATGCATGCAAATAAGTATGCTTTTAGAAGACACTGCCTGATTGTTTCAAAAAGTGCCAGGCAACTTTTATATGGAAGATGGTGTCCTTTGCCATACTGGCAAAGACAAAAGACTGGCTAAATGACTGTGAAATTCCATACTCTAAAGACTGGACTTAAATGTGATAGAGAACATTTGGAACCAGAAACTGGAGTGCGATGAAACAGGTGTGGGAGGGTATTGATTCTTCTATCCTTCATAAATTAGCCTTATCAGTGCCTAGGAGACTTAAGAAGTGCAATCATACAAAATACTAGTTTAGATGAGGAACCTATAAATATTTCAGTATTTAAATTAATTTTTAAAACAATAGTTTATGACAAGTGTTCTCATTATCTGTGAGATGTGTTTGTGCCTGTGTACAATATTTATGATGCTTCCTGTAATTGCTGCCATTTTATTCATGTTGATCAACTAAGAAATTATTAAATAATTACATCAGGTATAATGCATATTATTTTTGGGGAAGTGGTAAACCTGTATGAGACATACAGCACTTGGGGAAATCTGAGGTAATTAGATTTGATTCAAGGAATGTGAGATTTGATGGATCAAGAACCTTTCACCAGCATAAGGATCCTCCCTTGAGGAGAACTACAATGTATAGTTTTAAGGAGAATTATAATTTAAAGAAGGATATGCCACATGACTTGTGACATAATCCTTCAAGGTACAGGTCACTGATCATTTGCAGTGTAACAATGCCATACTCATTATTCTTCTCTATCTACATTCTCAACACAAACTATTAACCCTTTCAGGGCCGACAGGCCCTCTCAGAGACTTGTTCTCAGGGTTGCCCAAATTTCAAAAAAAAAAAAAAAAAATTATTTTTTTCTTATGAAAAGATAGAGAATCTTTTCCCGATCATAATGACACCAAAAGTATGAAACTTGATGAAAAACTTACGGAATTATGCTCTCGCAAAGTTAGCGGTCTCTATGATGTTTATGCATCAGCGATTTTGCCCACTTTGAGCCCTATTTTCGGCCAATTCCAGTGTACTAGTCAACAGAAATCATAACTATTTCACTAGAACTCCATTTTTTCTATTGAATGAGTACAAGAAACCACCCATTTACTGATTTAATCTATCCAATCAAGTGGTCAGAATTTAGCAATTTTGCCAATTTCACACAAATTTCAAAAGATGCCAATTTCTGAATAGGGTCCAAAATAAACAAGAAAGACATTCCTGGCACTAAAATAACACTTCCTCTGTTCATTAGTCATGTCCCCAGGCCCCTCTTACATTCTTTTGCTTTCCACTTTGAATTTTTATTCTCACAAAAAAAACCCAAAATGATTTACTGTTATGCAGACTACTGCATTAGTGTAGAAATGGTATAAATAATATCAGCACACTTGTGAAGAATATTAGACTCACCAGTTGACATGTATTGGACGCATAGCATGATTTGTTTACTTATGAACTTTGGTAAAAATCGAACATTTCTGCTACTTTGAGCTCAATTTCAAGGTACTTTTCATTGTAAAACCAGTCAAAATCATCTCAATTTCTATAATATGTCTTCCATTCTATAAAATGAGACCAGGAAAACTAGAATACAACAATAAATGCCATACGAAAATACAGTGCAAAGTCGCTGTTTTAATCCAAAAACACAGTCAAAGTCTTTTTTTTCTCATTACGCACTGTGTGCTGCAGGATTTTTTTTATACTGCGCACACTGACCACATAGACCCATTCTTTCATATGTAGGCCTATCAGCTTTCTCTCATTAAATTTGAGGGCGCTAGAATTTAGGCGTACTAGTACATCAAAAACCCTGGTGCATAAGCCGTACCAGTACGGCCAAAACCCTAAAAGGGTTAAAAACTGCTCTGAAAATACTGGGATTATTTTATGAAAATAATAATTTTATCCTTGCACTAAATCCTTATATTGAATTTAAGCAACCCATCCTTCAATTTTTTTTTACACTGAGAAAATGAACACTTGAAATCTACCAATATGCCCTATGCTGCCAAATGTAAGCTATTCATTTTTTCTATTATGTTTTGTCAGGTAATTCCTGTATATAGAAATTTTTTTTTTTTTTTTTCAACAAGTCGGCCGTCTCCCACCGAGGCAGGTTATTATTGGTTAATACGTATACATTAATCTAATACAGTGGACCCCCGCATAATGACCACCTCCGAATGTGACCAATTATGTAAGTGTATTTATGTAAGTGCGTTTGTACGTGTATGTTTGGGGGTCTGAAATGGACTAATCTACTTCACAGTATTCCTTATGGGAACAAATTCGGTCAGTACTGGCACCTGAACATACTTCTGGAGTGAAAAAATATCGTTAACCGGGGGTCCACTGTACATGTAAAACCAAACGTAATCATAAATAGCAAGTACTATAACAAATATTAAAATTCTGAGTGCTTGGAAATGCATGAAGGACAATTCAACTGAAGCTGGCTGTTGTAATTTGAGAAACTGATTTGGAAATGCAATTCTGAAACTAATTTGCCTGAAATGTTTACCAGTTTCTAATTAGTTTGCTGAATTCTAATTGGTTTGCTGAATTTTATAAGTATTTAGCAGTTAAGAGAAATTAATCTTGAGATTGGAAAAAAAATGAGAGGGTTAGTAGGATGGAAAGGCTGAGAATAATAGGAGTGAAATGAACAAGGCAATTCTGTGAAGCATTAAAAGATTTTATAAAAAATAAAGAAGCACTGTTGTTGATAAATGAACAAGATGATTATTGTATGGAGCATGTAAAAAATCCCCAAGAGTAAGATGTGTAGATAACACAGATATTTCAGAAACTAGAAATTTAGAGAAAAAATACAAGTAATATATCACAAGCAGTGGTAGCACCAGTATTATATTCTTAATAACAAATTATTTTATTCTGTGGTACAGTAATTACAGTAACATAATTATTGTGAGAATAGCAACTCTGTGAAATGTATCCTGTTGTACTCATGGATTTACACTGCTGTGTGAATTTTAACCTTTATCAGAATTACAAGCATATCCCTACCTACACACCTGTCTTACAATATTAATTTCCTGAACATCTGTAGCCACACAGTAACCAAATCATTATTGTTTCAAAGCTAAAGCTTCATATCTAAAACTAAAGCTTGGAGCTCTAAATTAATAAAGTATAAACAACTATCACCTAATAATTGATGGAAATTTACACATCAACTTAAGTCAAACTGACAAGCCTTGAGTGACAAGCTTCCTCTACAAGTAAAAAACTTTCTCAACAAAATGTACTCTTGCCTACTAATACCATCAATGATCAATTCTACTAGAATTACTGAGACAAAACCTTCCTCAGTTGACCAAATCTGAACTAATATAATAGTTCTTCAAAAAGCAAGCATAATCAATGACAGAATAATATAACCACTGCCCTACTCCTCTAATCAAGGACATTATGAAAGTGGCACTGCAAAAAACATAATTACATATGTCACAATCAGTTAACAAAGAAGCATCAATAAACCTAACAACAGTGATTACAAGTGCTGAATGGGAGAGAATTAACAAGTATTTAAAACAATAACTCAAACATATTAACATTTCAAACCTCTAATGGACTGAATAGATCACAGCGAAATAAAAACATTCTTGGACCCATTGACAAGCAATGTGACTGTGAAAAAAGGTAGAGACTTGGCCTAAGCTATAAAACAAAAGGATAATTGTGAACACTTCCCTATCTAATTAAGAAATCTCAATACAGTACTATAACTGTATTGTACAAATGAGTCTAATGAAACACAAGGAAAATATAAGAAAAAGACCTCACAAATGTTAGCAACCCACACAGTAAAATTTTAATTAAACTCGAACAGGGTTTCTTCTTGAACATAAGATCATGTCTACCAAAAAATCCTCAAAAATCAAGCCCTTCCAATTACCTTATAGATAATTACCCTCTTTTCCTATGCCTACCATCAACCACTCTAAAAGAAAACCTAGCAATAAAATTACTAAAATATTAAGCAGCAAGCAAACTGATAGTATAGTGGACCATCAATTAAATATAAGACAGCTACACCTGGTATTACCAATCATTACAACTAACGATGTGCCAAAATATTACTATTGGTATTGGTGAGCATCAGCAAATTTTAATGGTATAGTATTACTACCAGTGTAAAATTGAGTACTGGTACTTGCCTAATTTTGATGGTATCAGCATCAATGGATAGAGGCTAATTTTGATGGATGTATCAGTAATGGCCTAAAATTTAATATGTACTATATCAGTATCAGCAAAAGTTATGGAATAATCCCCTCACTAATTACAACACACACAAATATTTCAAAGACAAAAATTTCCCAAATATTCTCAAACCAGCCTGGGTTATATAAATCCACAAGATACGAGTCCAACAAAAATAAATGTTTAATATAATCTACCCATCTCTATGAAATAGTTATTACTGTAGACCACCACCCTTCACATCTCCACCTACTAAAATTTTGCTCATTTCCTATTCATTTTTTGTAACTATTTCCATCTTTTTCAGCAGCTCTACTCATTTCCATGTTGCACTCTAACATAGCCAGCCATGGCAGCAACACAGGCAGGCCAGTTCCCATCCCACATGCCTCAGGCCTCTTGTTTCATGGTAGAACTAGCTTTGTTTGCACCCACCCACACTATCATCAGTTGCCTCATGGACATATACCATATGTTATGTTATCACTCCATTTCTGATCTTTTTATTGCCCTGTGCAGTGTCTGCATATTAATCATGGCATCAAAGAGGAAATCTAGTGTAGAAGATATTGCCAAAAAGAAATTTAAGCACAAACTATGCCACTTGTGAGGGCAATAAATATACAGTGGACCCCAGGTTATCGTAATTAATCTGTTCCAGAGAGTGTGACTAAAACCGAATTTGACGAT